TCCTGTTCTGCAAATGTGAGTTTATTTGAACGAATCTATTCTTGGTATGGCGTAAACTGAACATGAAGTTAAATTCTGATATCCATGCTCGTATCAAGAGAAATTTCTACACCTGACATTTCACGAGAAATTAGAGAGGAAAAGAATTTTATTTTGTATATTACATTTATTTCCTGATATGGAACTATTATTTCTTTTGTCGTATGATCGTGCAAATGACACTCTGGTATTTATTATACACTCGTGACATCAAAACCTTTGCTCGTTAAAAAATAAAACAGAGAGAAGAAATATAGGAAAATATCATGAGTGATTTATAATCTGGTGTATCGTAGAGCTTGAATCCTATACCATTGTGATTTGATGGAGTTTCAGAGACTTCGTGGTATAGAAGAGAGACGAAGGAAAGAAAGTTTTTCAAACGAAACCACCCGTTTACAGATAGAAAGAAATATCGTTTGTTTTCGTGTCCCTGCGGACAACAGCACATTGAATGAATGAAATTACATCAAGCAATGGAGGAGGTCTGACTTCCGTTAAATTATTACGCTCGAAGGAGACGTTTCCTTCGCTTAGAAAAATTTATATCGTGGCAGCTATAACTATCGGACGATATATTATGTACACGCAACATTTTCCGGATATCAGGCAGCGATGTCGATAAAAAGAAGAAAAGAAATACAACGGATAGAAGTGGAGAAAAATAACGTCAAAGGGAAATAAATAGATATGAATTAAACGTTGCAAATATCATCAAATTCGGATTTTGGTACCTGAAAAATTCCAAAGGAAACGGAATAATACAGCATTATTATTAAAAATTCTTTGTAAGTCGAAATACAAAATACTCGGATTTTGGTATCTGCAACATTCCAAAGGAGAAGAAATAATAATCGATTTACAATAAAATTTCTGCAATTCGAAATACAAATTCAATTTAGTTCAAATTATTTTCCACGGTTTATATGTGTTATATAATGGTAAATAAATACGTGAGTGCATCTACTTATATGCATTTCTAAAGCTTCGAATGCATATACTTTCAAGCGGACGATCCTCTGAGAGTTCTCAATGGTAGGACAAACATTGTATGTGTAAGCACAGTAGCTAGGTAATTAGTACTCTAACATACATCAACTTGATTGATAGATCGATACAATCAGATAATGATAAGACAACATGAACGAAGAGGTACGGAAAGCTTTAAGGTAAATATTGACTGTTAGAGTATTTGTCTTTCTAAACGTAATATGCCTTTCAGATAATAATTAACGTATGAGTGGAATATATGATTTTATTAATTAGAAGAATATTCTCCCGTCTAACTATAAAATGTATAATTGCAATTGTGTAATTTTGAGAAATTTAATATTTGGTATTCATAATTGCAATTGTGTAATTTTAAAATATCTGAATTACCTTTACAAAAATCTTTCTTGAATCTGTCACATTTACAAAGGCATATACGTTGGCAACAGCTGATAAAAATTTCAGTTTCCTGTACCGGTTCTGTCAATAACAACTGCTCCAAAAGAAACAGTAACCTTGTTGATATCAGTCGAAAAATGGCATTTCAATTTGAAGAGAAATCAACCGAGTAGCTGAATTTTAGACGCCTGAAGGCATTATACTACGTCACCATCCATCATGTTCACTTGATTTGCTCTCGGTTTCGTGTTTTTCAAGCTAAAATTGATATTATAAAATACTGATCAATTTTTGTAAAATCATTTTTAAAAAATGCATCAACTAATTAAAGATAGAAAATTGATAAACTTTTATCATATCATTCTTTTTAGTAACCATGTTTTGATTTTGATTATATTTCATCATTTAGAAAAAAGTAATGAAATTGGAATAAATTACTTTTTCGTAATTAAAGTATATCTCAAAGAATTATCTGGAAATGCGATGAGATTTTTGTACGTACCTTATCAGGTAATGGTTCGGCCACGTGGGGTGGAGGAAGCGGAAGTGGCTGCACTATTTGCCGGTGACGGTGATGAAAACGGTGTTTCTACCCACGGGTGGAAGCACCACTGTTCACCTTTGAAATCAGCCCGACGACCACGACGGGTAATCCCCACGTAGTTTTGCAGCCTGCATCAGGATGGCTCCATTGACCTCTATCCAATGGGATTACTAGGATAGTTTTCGCCTCCTTTATTCCTCTTACCGTCCGTTTTTCTTTCTCCTTTTAAGAATTTGCACGTTTCCTTGCAAATCTGAAAATCAGAGAAAAGAAACTCGTTCAACGAGAAGAATTTTCTACTATTGTGTTATTATTAATATTATTGAAATCGTACTTTAATAGAAGTACTATTTGCAATGAGAAAATATTTTAATTAAATTCCTTGGATGTTTGTTGAATCTAATAAGCATCGCTTTGCAATTTAAATACTCCATCGTTCCTCGCATATGTTAATCATAGAATGCATCTTCAATTATGCAATAATTAGTTTCAAGACAAATTAATTAGTAGTTATTGCTTTTCATTCGTTTTTATGAAACAAAGTTTAATTGTTTTTTATTATTTCTATATCGTGTTATTAAGGAATACATTGATCTAATAAAATGTTTTAATGTTAATTTAATTGAATCTCCTTTGTGGTAAAATTTATCGCGCGATTAAAATCGAAATGAAATGAATGATTATTAAAGTATAAATGGGTATCTGTTATACAGAGGATTTGCCGGTATATTAGAGTAATGCCAGAAGAAACTTTCAGAAAGCGCAGTCACTCATTAATCCCTAAAGCGTCAAAGACCTAACTGGAGGTAGCTGTAAACTGTCGTCGACAGAATACTGCGGTATTTAACGACTTCTCAGGAACAATGTTAATTCCTATTTCGTCGTTCTTCCGGGATTAAACATTAGTATCTTCCGCGAACTTTCTCGACTTATCGCGAAACTTTGGAATTGGAAACACAATTCGATATAATTTAAGTGTCTTTTTTTTATTATTAAAAAATAAAATAATTTCTCAATTAACATTTAGCTGAATCTTAAACGACGACTATCTTCTGTAATATCTTCATAAAAGTACTTACATTCTTCGTATAATATATCCCAGTCCTTTTGTATCTTTGATAAATGGCAAACGCTGTTCTCCGCAATGTGTTTAAAAACTTTCTTTCGTAGTAAAGCGATGACAAAAGGGCATGTTATTACCCCATTTTTATTTTCAACTTAGAGAAATCACTGAACGTGTACGTTTCATGTTCATTCTGCAGCTAGTACCGTTCTCTTTTATATAATTATGAAATGAAATTGAACATTTTCTGAAAATATATATGATTTTCAGACTGCAAAGTAGGAGCGTTCCCAGAAATAACTCAAACGGTATGCATTGTATTCAAACGGCATTGTTGCAGCATGTTCATTAATACAGCTTTTGAGGAGCATTGTGAGTAGTATACTGAATTCTGTAATTCATGTGGTATCTTTTTGAACATGATATAATACATTTTTAAAAATATTTGTTTAATTGCGAAGTATTATAATTATGAAATACTAATAAATTAAATTAATTGTTTACATTAGAATCAAGTCTTGTTCAATGATATCTGTTTCTATGGCAGATATTTATTATAAAAGCTAGATAGTAGTAGCTGCATTGTGCATTTCCCATGAGAATTGCATTTATGTGAAACAACAGCAATTATACGTGCAAGATAGTGCCATTACACAAGAATGAAGTATGGGCTTGGTTAGGCAAGATTTCGTATATATGCGAACGTATACGTTGCTCGATTTGTTTCTGATATAATCTCTAAACTGTACACTTAATTGCGTCCTGCAGCTATGTTTTCAGTGTAATTAAATGCACTAATTTAAGGGAATAATAGAGGTAATTACGCTCGCAGTTTCAATTACCGTTACATATTTTTATTCCAATAAAATGGAAACTAAAATTGCAATTTTACATTATTTTTGCCCTGCTTTTAAATACTTGTTATAAACCTTCAGTTTCATAAGATACTTAAAATGTCAACAACTGATTAGAACGTCAATTTTCAAAGTATCTGAAAGAGGGTTGACTTTTAATTCATCCCAAGAGAGGATTTATTTTATGAGTAAAAAGAATATGATCGTATTTTTTCTAAACTTATAAAACTGCGGGTTTTCAAGGAGAAATTTGCGAAATAAAAATTTCTTTATAATTTTAAGAAATACGATAACGTGCAGAAAAGAAGCGAACCTGAATTCTTCGGTATTCCGTTCAAGCTCTTTTCGCGCTAAAGAAGTTTATCTCGTTTGCACTTCGCATGGTGTACGATATTGTACCGTGCTTTGTTTTTCTGCCACAGATTTTATGAAACCGACGAGCGTACGTTGGCAAAGAAAACTCCGCGAGAGTGGAGAATGTTCAGTAACTTTTCAAGTTTATTAGTCTCGAGGGGTGGTGCTCCTGTTCTTATTGAAACAAACTTCTAACACCGTTGACTAATTGGAGAATACGTTTCTGTCTTTTCCAACAGCACAGATTCACTGATTTCGATGATCGTGTTTAAAGTATTGCACGCGATGCGATTATAATTGATTAATTTTCACATTACAAAGATAATGTCGATTATTTTAATTCAATTCCGTGGTCCACTTCTCGCATGCTTAAAATCGCGCGACACAGATTTATTCAGCCGCAGACAAATCCTATTAAACCGTAGCCGTCTAGCAAACAAACGAGTCAATTTTGTTCATCGGGCTTTATATCGAGGGAAGTAAACGGAAGTGAACCGGTACGATTCCATTTTCGTAGCAGTGAACCGAATGAAGTATTCGTTCGTTGTCGTTTACACGAATGGATTTACGCGATAATTAACTATACCGCCATTTTCTTTTGTTCGCCGAAATAGAATCGACTGGTGTTGAGGAACTCTTGTGTTTCAATATACAATAGGAAGAGGCGGAGAAAATCGAATATTTCAAATTTTTTGTAGCGGATGTAATTATCTTTGTAACAAATACAAAATGCAGAAAATAAAATTTTCTGCTATCGTCCATCTCTTTCTTACTACTAAGGATGAAACGAGCTTTTATAAAAGTTCTATCGTTCCTTTTGGTCGCCTTGACCCATTATTTGACTGTTGCCCTCTGACAATAAGACGAAGTTGTGGTAAGCGATCACCCGAGGCGATAAAAGAGCTGCCCCGAAGGTCTCCGGTTGTACAGGCTCGTTTTAACCCTCGGACGGCGCGGCGGACCACGGAGAGAGCCCCAAGTTTACTTACACGCATGTAATCAAAAAGCGATAATTATTTGCAAATTTAATTTCCCCAAAATAAAAAATTAATGCAGCTACTTCGATATTAATATAGGAACACTTAAGGGATTAATAAGTAAACGAGATTAAAAGTTAAAAGCTCATTATCGATGTAATGTAATGACGTTTAAATCCTTTGACGATTGGGTAATGATCGGGAAATTTTTCAAACGTTCGAAAAATTGAGAGATGTTTATGAGAAGTTGAACGAAAGGCCATCAATCTACGAAGCTCTCAGTGGATTTTGTTTCGTCGGCTTTTTTCGATTTTCCGCATTTTTCACTTTTTCATTCAGCCCTGACTCCAGTTTTTGCGTTGCAGATATTATGGTGCAATATCGAGCGCGTTTAAAGCTGACATAACCGACTGGAAAATTCACAAATATCCAACCCTCTGCATTTCACAATTATTTGATAACACATTTTCATCTATGTATTTCAATATTGATGTATTTTCCATATTTTAATATTGAAATTCTATAGAAAACTTCTATAGAAACTTTCTATAGAAAAATTCCATAAATTCAAAATCGTTATTATTTACCTATATAATCTCTATTTAAGTGTTTCAATTTTTTATTTAATTTTATAGTTCTCATTTCTAAAATAGCTCTAAAGTTTCAACGTACTTCGAATATAATTCTTTGGCTGTCGAATTATTTCTTCTTTTGTTGATCCTACATTTACATCGGTCTAAAATCTATCTTTCCGAAAAATGTCTCCCACAAAAGGGCAAAGATAAATCAACGTGACATTATTTTTCCGGTTATACGTTTTAAATCACGAATTTATATCTCAACTCACGGTTTACCACGGACAAAAAGTGTTGCATTAAACTTGTCTTCCTTCCTACGCTTCCTTCGAAGCGTTCTCTATTACTTTCCGCCTCGCCATCGCAACGAAAGCTTTTATAAAATCATGGTTAAATCTCATCACAGTGCGGTATTTATTTTCTTTTGCGAAACAATGTTTCCGGCATCAACACGGGCAAGCATCAAAGTGCTCGTCAGCAAATGTATCGGGGGAAAAATTGTGGCCTTCGTTGCATGCCGGAGGACGCAATGCCATTCCTCTGGGTTGCCTCGTATTTTCTTCAATCGCAGTCTTAAATATAATGCCTTTTAATTATAATAAAAGATTCGTTAAATTTGTTTGAGAAAGAAAATAAGAAACTAGAGAGGTACAAATTAAACTTAAAAATAGAGTGAACTTAAACCGATCGAAAGAAAATTACGTTCTTATAGGATTTCAATTACATCAATCCGAGAAAGAAAATTACAGTTGGCATTTGTAACAGATGTCAAAGTTGAACTTCCACATGTACCTCCATATCTCTGAATAGACGGAAGCCAATTGACCGTAGTTCGGGCCAGGAGGTACGAGAAAACGAGGGGAAGACGTGTAATATGTGGGGCGGTCGATGGGGCCGTTTATATTGCGTTACGTGTGCTTTTAAGTTTCGCACAGCTCTGTTTTTTCGCACATCCACGTTTGACAAAAAATTAACCCTCTGCAACCGAAATTTTTTGTGACTGCGAAAATAAATGATGGAGTATCTTCAAAGGTACCTAAGTTTGTACCACTGCATCGAAACTAGTGATTAACCCTCAGAACGAAGGTGAACTTATTATTAATCAGTTCAATAATACCTACCTATTAAACTTTTTATTTATTTTTTTTAATATTAGAACGATCGATAAACAAATTGACAGATGGTTTAATAATGTCCATGGAAAGGTATACATTCACTTTCAATAGAGTAGTATAAATATCAATCGAAGCCAGGTTGAAAAGACATAAACGTACTTACATGTACCTGAAATGGTATATAAGTGATAAAGGAAATAGGTATGTATATATGTAGATCGTTGTATACACGTAAGAAAACAGCTGTATTTTGAAGCTTTTATCAATATTGCTAGCTGCGGCTTCTATGTACATATTGGTGCTACAGAAGTCCAT